ACCCCCCAAATCGCTCTCCCCCGTTCCCCGCGCACCCCCCGGGCCTGTGGGGGGCGCTGTCCCCGCCCGCCCCCGCCCGAGGCCGCTCCGCCCGCCGCTCTCGCTGTCCCGCCGCCATTTCCCGCCGCCGCTCGCCCTCAGCCGCGGCCCCRCTCCCGCCGCGGTTCCGCCCCGGCTCCGGTACCATCTCATCGGGGCTGAGGATCCCGAACTGGACTCGTTTGATGGTGCGCAGCGGGCAGGCGCTATCGCCCGAGGGCGGCCCGCCGTGCATGGCGCCGGTGGAACCGCGGCCTCGCGCCGCTTCGAGTGCTTGGAATGGAGCCCTTCACGGAGGGGTTGGGGAGGAATTTAAACCCCACCGGGGAACGGGGAAGCGGCTCCTCACGGAGCCCCCAGCGCGGAGCTTCCCCTTTTAAGCTCCGGCCGCTCCGCGCTCACGGCGCGACTGAGCTCGGTGAGGCGCCGGCACTGCTTTATATAGACTCGGCTCCCGCGCGCCGCCGGAGGGGGCGTGGCCAGAGCGGACCAAACGCCTCACGGGGAAAAGGGGGAGCGCGGGAAAGAAACCGCGGGAAGGGGAGGGGGCGGCGGGTCCTGTGAGGGTTCGTGAGGGGAGAGAGGAGCGGGGAACGGGGAGGAGGCGGCGGCGGCTGCTCCGTGAAACCCTCGTGGGACGCGCCGCCATCGGACTCCCCCGTCCAGCACGGTGGGATCGGCTCATGAATAATTCATTCAAAACCCCGCCTTCCTCGTGTCCGAGAGCCAACCCCCCTCCTCCTCCGGGGGGAGGTTGACGAAGCCACCCCGAAAACTGGCGGAGATTGCCGGAGTTTGCCGGAGATTGCCGAAAAGCTGGCGGAAGAGGGCGGAGATCGCCGAAGCAGCCCCGGACATATACGGAAATGATCGAAGTTAACCGGTGGTGCCCGAACGCTGCCGGAAAGAGACGGAAGTGGCCGAAGTAGTAGCGGAAGTTATCGAAAGTTACCGAAGCCCTAGCGGTCGATATCGGAAATTACCGAATATGTGACGGGAGATGCCGAAGCAAAGGCGGACGGTGCCGGAAATGGCCGAAGCACCGCTCCGGCTGCGGCCTGCGCAGCCCCGGCCTTGCCCGCCCGGCCTGACCGCTCCCGGCGCTCCCAACCCGGCTGCGGCCGCTGGGAAAGGCCGAGGCTTTCGGGCCTGTTCACGATGGGGCGTTGGGGGCGTCGGGGAAGGGGCTGAGGGAGGCGAGAGCAGAGTGGGGAGCGTTTAGGAAAAGGTGGAGGGGCGATGAAAGGTCAGGGAGCGGGGATTTGGGGGGCGGAGGGCTSAGGGAGAGGTAATTTGGGTTATAATTGGGGTAAGAAAAGGAATTTTGGGGCAGYGGGAGGGTGATAGGAAAGGGGAAGGATGGGAAGGAGGATTTGGGGGAGTGGGAAAGTTTGAGGCTCAGGAAGGGGTATTTAGGGGAAGCAGAAAGGATTTGGGGACAATTTGGGCAATAAAGGGACATTTTGGGACAGGAAAAAGGTTTTTGAGGCCATTTAGGGCCGGGGAGGGGGGATTTGGGCAGAGCAGGAGATTTGGGGRGTATTTAGGGGGAGCAGGAGTGGTTTGGGGTGAAAATTGGGGCAAGAAAGGTGAAGATTGGGCATCAATTATGGGCAGGGATAGATGATTTGGGGGAAGTCAAATAAAAAAATGTTTTATGGGGAGCTGAGGGGCCTTTAGGGGCCACAGGGGAATTTTTTTGGGTATTTTGGGGCAGAAAAGAGGTGATTTGGGGAGCAGGGGGGTATTTTTGGGGGTCGGGACAGGTGCTGTGGGTTTTTTCCCCCATTGTCACCGATGGCATCGATGTCACCCAAGGCCACGGTGTCCCCTGTGTCACCACGTCCGCCTGTCCTTGGCGCTGTGTCCCCAAAGTCGGGGTTTTGTCACCGTCATTGTCCCCAATGGGGGTTGGGGGTGTCCCCCACACCCCATGGGGGTGAATGGGTGGGGCAGGATGACGTCATGAGGGTGTGACGTCATTGTGGTGACATCACAGGGTGTGACACGGCGTCACCGAGGTACAGCCGGACAAAGTGACAAAAAATTGACACAAAAATGAAACAAAATAACACAAAAATGGCACAAAATGTCACAAAGTGATACAAAATTACACAAAGTAAAAAAAAGTGACACAAAGTATCCAAAAAGTGACACCCTGGGGACACGGTGACACCCGAACAGCCACAGCGGGGTCTGTGCCACCCCCAACTGTGGCCGTTGTGTCCCCAAAGGTGTCCCCAGCGGTGTCCCCAACAATGTCCCAGTACCCCCAGTTGTGTCCCATTGTCCCCCGCCACTGTCCCCGGGCTCTGTCCCCCAATCGTGTCCTGCTGTCCCCTCCAAGTGCCCCCCATGGTGTCCCCATTGTGTCCCCTGCTTTTGTCCCGGTTTGTCCCATTTGTGTCCCAGTTTGTCCCCGTTGTGTCCCCGTCCCCCACTTGTGTCCCTGTCCCCAGTTTGTCCCAGTGTTGTCCCCATTGTGTCCCCCTTTCCCCTCAGTTTTGTCCCACTGTCCTG